TGAAGGCGGAGTGCCTCTACAGCAGATGGAAGGGAACGAGCATCCGGGAGAGTCTGGCTGGCCAGTAGCCCAGAGTGACAGAGTGTGGGTGTGTGAGGAGGCGGGCCTGGACACAGGGCCAAGGCCGGAGTGGAAGGGCCTAGGAGGCCACACTCACTCCCTTGGAACTTAGACAAAGGGGGAGTCTGTAGCATTTTCAAAGCAGAAAATCACCATGGTCATGACTGTTGTTGTCACTGTTTTAGAAAAATAAACTCTGAAAGCAGTGTGGAAGGTGCTGGAGGGGCAGCAGGAGACCATGGGTCCGAATTGGGGTACTGGAGTATGTCCAGAGGGGACTGACAGAGTTTAGAGCCCCCTGGAAAGTAAAATGGACAGGACTGGGGACAGATTGGACATGGTGGCACGAGGGAATGGGGAGAACTCAGAAACGACTTAGAGGTTTTTAGCTTGGGTAACTTGGTGGATAATGATGCCAAAATCCGAGATGGGGAAGAGAGGAGGAGGTCTAGGGTGAGGAGGAGACAGATAATACATCCAGATGACTCGATGACTGTAATATGTACACACACCCACGGAGCGCTGCTTTCAGCTATAAAAAATAAAGCATGACTGGAGCACTAACCCACTTTTCTGACTACTTAGTCACAGATGGGGGTTCTGAGTGACCCATTGCAGAGCATCTAGAACAAGCTGTTCTCGTCATCCAGAGTCACCTTGTGATTGTGGGGGCTGCTAACCAGAGAAAGTAGATTTCACAGTCAACTTACATTCAGGATAGCCATAGCCCTTTGTCCCCCTACAGTGTCGCCATTACGAGGTTAGGTTCAAATCCTGGGCTCTGCTAGTTACCAGCTGAGACCTTAGGCAGGTCACCTAACCTCTCTGAGTATGTTTCTTCATTTCTAAAATGGGGCTCATTATGACATTTTGTGAGGCTAAAATACGATATGTCCAGACCAAGTACCAAAGGGCCTGGCATATTGTAAATAATACATATTAGCAGCTATTGTTATTAGTGGCTATATTTAGTCATACTGTAGGATATACCTTGGGCTTTAAATTTGCTTGTATCTTCTGTGCCTGTAGGAAAAGTGAGGCCAATCTTATGTGTTATATTTTCCTGATGATAAACAAGAGTGAAGTTCCCATGGTTTTGAGAAGCCTTGCCTGTTTTTTCATTCATTTATTCATTCAACAACAATTAAACCTGTCCCCAATTGCTCACAGGCTAATAGGGAAGACAGACACACAAAAATGTCACTATGGTAAAATAATGGCATTATAAGGCTCTTGGGTAGCTAGGGGTAGGATGGAGGAGGAGACTTCCTTACAAGAGGTGGAGAAGCTGAGAAGGGAGTCTAGAAAGTGAATAGGAGTGTGTTCTTAGGAGTGTGTGAGGAAAGACGGTCCTCCTCTTGACAGAGGTGGTCAGTGGCTGCCCAGGGGCCTGATCCAGTGTGAGGGATGAAGAGCTCAGATGAGGCTGGAGCGGTGGACTCCTTCAATGCCGTCCCAGGTATGAACATGAGGCTGTGGGTGCTGGAAGATTTAAGGTGGAAGTGCAGTGATCTGATCTGCATTTGAGGAAGGTTCCTTTGACAGTGCACGAGGAATGGGGTAGAGATGGCAGGGAAGTCAGTTAGCAGTGGGTGGACCTGGGGTAGGGACTTTGGTGCTAGAGGGAGCAGCAGAGTCCATAGGCCAAGGAGGCCAGATCAGCCGGCCTTGGTGACCCGTGGGGCAGCAGGGAGCAGGGAAGGGTGGGATCACTGAGACTCATTGCTCTGCTAACAGGAGGAAGTCAGGCCTGCTTGGGCTGGGACAGTTGAGCTGGAAATGCCTGGGAGATGTCAGTTGCAGTCCTGTTGTCAGAGACATTTGGGTTGGGGAGGGGTCTGGGAGGTGTCAGAGAGCTTGAAGTCCTGTGGAGTAAGGAAGCACTCGGGCGGGCGGCAGCTGAGTGTGGTGTCACCATCCGAGCCCCACTGAAACCAGGGGAGCTCAGTTGTGGAGCTCAGCAAGTTTCCTGTGCTCATCCACTAACTGCACAGGTACTGTGGTAGGATGGTTCCCAGTTCCTGAGGCCTCCAGTGCATCGTGCCCTGTCGGGTTTGCCCGTGGATTCTGCAGCTGTCAGTGTGTGCAGCTGACAGACAGGTTCCTCTGAGGTCTGGTTTTGTATGTTTGTTTTTCTAATGGGCTAACCTTTATTTCTGGCCAAGTTACATAAACAGTATCAGCACAGGGGGACCTTCGCCATCATTTTGACTTTTGGTGGGAGGAGGCTCAGCACGCTGGGGGAGTCAAAAGCTGCAGAGACTTGGCCTGGGAAGGGGGAAGCCTTGTGTCTTGGGAACATCACTCCACAGGTGCCTAGACTCTGGGCCTTTACGCCTGGGGTCTTGCCTGGCTGGCTGGACACAATGATGACTGATAAGAGGGAGTTGACAGGCCTCTGGAGTGGACCTTGGGCAGGGACTGCCCCTGCCCAGCTCTGGTCTCTCCTCTTCTGTAGGACAGAGGCTTGACAGGGGCTGACAGGGTGAGCAGAGGAGGTCAGAGAGAGAGCAAGCTAGAAGCTAGGGGTCGACAAAATTAAATGCGGAAGAGTCCTTTTCTCTTCCAGAAGGAGCGCGTTCCCTCCCAGTAGTTTTGGTCTGTTTTTACTGTTTCATGCATATTAATAAAGAGCACAGGTACTGAGAAGCAGTTCCCTAGCCCAGTGCCATAGGGGTCGTGGGTGGTGGGCAGCTGCTGCTCAGGCTGTTCCTGCCTCACAGGGATTCAGGGCCAGTGTCATCTGAATGTTTGATGTTTTCAAGATAAGCTGGGAATCCAGATCTAGTGGGAAATTTCCCAACTGGCTTAACTTTTTAACAATAAACACTGTAGGCCCCGTGAAGTGTGCCTGTGGGCTGGATGAAGGCCGTGGGCTGTGGGTCGTGTTCTCTAGGACAGTTGCTCTCTAACGTCTTGTCTGGCCACAGCACACTGCGAGGTTCCACCCAGAGGGGGAGAGGAGCACTAAACAGGAACAGACAGAGCCCGTTCCAGACTCTTCTCAGACACGAGCCTGAGTGGCCCAGAGCAAGCCGTGTCCCATTGTTGAAGTCCACCTTTTTTATCAGCAAAGTAAAATCCAGGGCTGGATCTGTGGATTTTTTTTCTTGGATTGATTTTTTTATTACTAGCTTCTTCCTGAGATCCAAAGGCGAGGGGTGGGGGGTAGATGAGCCATGGGTTCCAGCCATTAGGCAGGAACCGTGGGCCGCCTAAGCTGGGAATCCAGATCTAGTGGGAAATTTCCCAACTGGCTTAACTTTTTAACAATAAACACTGTAGGCCCCGTGAAGTGTGCCTGTGGGCTGGATGAAGGCCGTGGGCTGTGGGTCGTGTTCTCTAGGACAGTTGCTCTCTAACGTCTTGTCTGGCCACAGCACACTGCGAGGTTCCACCCAGAGGGGGAGAGGAGCACTAAACAGGAACAGACAGAGCCCGTTCCAGACTCTTCTCAGACACGAGCCTGAGTGGCCCGGAGCAAGCCGTGTCCCATTGTTGAAGTCCACCTTTTTTATCAGCAAAGTAAAATCCAGGGCTGGATCTGTGGATTTTTTTTTCTTGGATTGATTTTTTTATTACTAGCTTCTTCCTGAGATCCAAAGGCGAGGGGTGGGGGGTAGATGAGCCATGGGTTCCAGCCATTAGGCAGGAACCGTGGGCAGCCTGGTGTCCAGCAATCTGGATCTGTGGATTTGAATCTTTTTTTTTAAGCAGCAAAACTTGGTTTTAGCCAAATCTTACAAGAACACATTGTAGCATATGAAATAGATTTTTAAAAAACAGAGTTGCTCTAGTTTCTGGGAGTCTGGAGTTCCACCCTGAGGCTGTCTCTGCTCTCCCTCGGGTCACCTTTGCCAAGGTCTCTGGACACAGGGTCATGACTGCCCACCTGCTGGCTGGTGCTCTCCACCCCTCCCGCCTTCCGTGAATTGAATATGAAGAGGAGACCCGGAGCTGGAGGGAGAGCTAGCCCCTTAGTGGCCCCCTCATCAGCTCCTCCCCCGAATCCTGCCTAGTCCTGACACAGGATGGCTGGCCAGCCACGGGGTGCAACTGCCATTTCCTGGGTGCCTTCCACGCTTTTTGCCTCCTCACATCAGGCCCCCAGGGTGTGCATTCCACAGGTGAGTAAACCAAGACACAGAAAGGGGAAGTGAGTCTCCCCAAGTCACTCAGCTGGAAAGTGAAGGAGCTCAGATTCCACCCAGGCTGAGACTCAGGGGTGCTGTCTCCCCACATGGCCTCCCTTGTTTGCCTGTGACTGAGTGCCATGCAGGTCCTGGATCCCAGGGCTGATGTTTTCCATCCCTTGGGCTTCTGCGGCTTGCTTCAGTTTGCAGAGCCCCTCAGATGTGACCGCAGTTTTCTAGTGTTAGCCTAAATTCATCTCAGCAGGACTCTCCTTTTTATTACCACAGGACGCAGAGCCATCTGAGCCCAGAAGTGCGGAGGTAACGAGGAAGCCCAAAGCTACTCTTCCTTCTGCGAACAAGAGGCCCAAGAAGGAGACTAAGAAGAAGCGGTAGAAGAGGAGGCTGTGACGCCAGGAGGGCGGGGCAAGGCCTTGGGGACAGACCTTCTGGGACCCAGCATCCTGTTCCCTCTCTCTGTCCCAGGCTCAGGGGCTGAGGTGGCTACAGTGCCCTCTGACCGCAGAGATCTGGACAGTCGTGACTGTCCCCAGGCTGCAGCTGTGCAGATCACCACTTCCTCTTCCGTCTGCTTCTGTGACAGTTTAGAGTCAAGGGGACCAAGACACCCTCTGAGCAAAGACCGTATTAGGAGGTTTGTGCAGAAGTCGGTCAGCTCCAAAGCTGTGTTTTTTTTTGTTTGTTTGTTTGGTTGGTTTTTTTCTTGACTTAATGACCGTTAGTCACCTGCCTTGTGGGCTCGTGCTGTGTTTTGGAGGTGTTGCCTAACACTGACAAGCATGCCTTCTCCCATTAGTTGTGAACCGCAGACCTTGTGCTGATCGGTCACCTTTGTCTCTGTGCAGATGGAGCCAGGCCTCACCTGTTTGCTTAGGGCAGGGCACCGTGGCCATGTTGGTTAGCCGTCCCGGTAGCTGCCACAGCTAGGTCCAAAAGGTGCCTGGTTCTCCTCCAGCAGGTGGAAAGGATTTGGCCGAATAAGTGTATTTTCTTGGGCACAGACTCTCAGCCACTGGAATGGGAGGCTTGTCAATTTCAGACCCCCTTCTTTTCAACCCATCATGGCACATTCAGAAAGGTGTGCCTTTGAGGTCCACCCGTACCTTCCTCCTCCCCTCAGTTCTTCCACTTCCTGCCCCAGGAGAAGACGCTCTTGGGGAGAGTAAAGTCAATAAACTGTCCTGCATGCCAAACCTGCTCATGTGTTGTCTACTGCGGAGACTGGAAAGCCTAGGTCCCTGCCCTGGGTTTGAGGGAAAGGCTTGCTCCCCAGGGAAGTGGAACAGTAGGGGATGAGGGGGCCAGCACAGGGGGCAGCTTTGGTCCAACAGGCTCTGTAGGCTGAGCCGTTTGGGAACGAGTTTTCTTCATGTGGCCCTTAGTCACTGGAAATCCTGTGAAAATCATGGGTGAGAGTTTCCACCAGGTCCGGACCCTGCTCAGTCCCCAGGTTCCTGTTGCCTGAGGAAGGTGCTGCCCGTCCTCTAATGGCTTGAAACAAACCAAGTGATACACAGTAGAAGTGTCACATGGCTTCGGGCGGCTCTGGCTGCATGGCCTGAGTCAGCTGCAGAGGAAAAGCCCCAACCTCTGGTAATTCAGGTCTGCCTGGGCTTGTGCTGTCTGCCAGACACTTTCCCAGATGTCATCAGGACTGACGAGGAACTGAAGGGATGAGCGTCATTTCCCTTTTAGAGATGAAGTCCATGTTCCTTGAAAGGGCTAGGGAGTACTGATGGGTTCGAAACTCTGAGGCCCCTCCTGCTACAGAGGCACTTGGCTCTGTCTCCCAGTACTTCAGATTCCAGGAGAGCTAATCCCGAGACTGGAGCTTCTGCATAACAAAGCACCAGTCTTGGCCCAGTGCTAGCCTGAGAAGGGGCTCATGCTGAGTATTTCTGTTCCTTGAACAGTCTTAGTGCTGGCCACCATGCTAGCCTCTGAGGGTACAGAAATGAGGAACCTTCACAGAAACCCAAAGTACACCTGCACCTGGCCTAGTGGAAGACTGAAAACAGGCTGGGTGTTCTCTGATGGGGGAGCAGCAGATGCTGTGGGAGCTGGCCATTGGGGCTCAGCCTTGGGGGAGTCAGCATGGCCACCTGGCAAGCCAAAGTAACCCAGGTGTCTTGTTTTTTAATTGCCAGAGAGTGTATATGCTCACCACAGAGGAAGAGAAATCATCCCCCAGTAGGGCTTGGTCATGCCACAATCCTTTCTCCTCCTCTGGGACTGGGATTTGAACTGCAGTTGGCCATGTGGAATCCAGCTTCCTATGCATGAGGCTGAATCAAGGTTGCACTGTGGATGATGACTCCTGATTTTTTAAAAGTTTTTTTCATAGGGGTGTGAGTGCTTTTCAGAGAGAGACAGTGAGAGAGCAAGTGGGAAATCACCCCCCAGCGGGGGTGGCCATGCCACAATCCTTTCTCCATTCTTCTGGGATTTTGGGAATGCACTCATGTACATGCACCGGGCATGATTTTCAAGCTGCCAGGTCCAGGACTTGAACCACAGTTGACTATGTGGGAGTCCAGTGCCTTAACCACTATACCAGCTTCTGGCCCCTCTTCTGATTCTTAAAGGCTCAGCAGGAGTTGAGGCCAGAGGCCAGAGGGAAAGTAAGGCAGGAGAGTGGGACCAAAACCTCTAGAGCAGATCTGGTCCAGCTTGTGGAAGAGAGGCACATTCTAGCTGCCAAGTAAAGGAGTTGGACCTCAGCAGGTCCAGCTCTTGCAAATCGTCTCCCTTAAAGGCAGTGCCAGAGTCCAGCCCTCAGAAAGCAAGAGCGGTCTTCCTCTGCTCTGCCAGCTTCTCCTTCCACACTTAGGGTGGGTAGAATTTGCAGCATTTGACTTTCTTGGCTCCCAGAACCCCATCCTCTCCTGGTGTCCTTCCTACATCTCTGGTTCCTCCTCCTCAGAGGGGCCCAGGCCTCAGTCCTTGGTCCTCTTGTTAGACAGATGCTCCAGTTTCTAGTCTTTGTTTCTGAATCTGCTCTCTTGGAGGTCTCGTCCATGTTCATGGCTTTACATATCGACCTGTGTTTGGGTTCTCCTGGGAGACAACCAGATCTGAAGGCCTGAGAATCAGGAGTGTAGAGGACAGGGGAAGCCGGCTGTCCCAGCTCATGCAGTCATCAGAGGGAGGGCAAATCCAGCCTTCCTGTGCTATTTTGTTCTGTTCAGACTCTCGGTAAATTGGATGAGGCCCACTTACTTTGGGGAGGACCTTCTGCATTGCACATTCTACCTAATACAGATTTCTTGCAAGGGGCCAGCAGGTGGTATGCTGGTTAAGGTGCTGGACACTCCCACATGGCTGACCCCTGGTAGCTTGCTTTCTCACTTTCCTTCTTTCTCTTTGTCTCTCTCTGATCAAATTAAAATAAATGAATGAATAAATAAAATTAAACAATTCTTTAAAAAATAATTTCTTCCAGAAATATCGTCATAGGCACACCTAGAAGTAATGTTTATTCAGATAACTGGACATCCTATGGTTAGTCAAGTTGATGTATAAAATTAACCATCACACCACCCATTTGCCAGTGCCTCCCAAATGAATCTCTGCAGATTCCTCTCTTAAATTCCAGATTCATATATCTGATTTTCTACTCCATATCTCCAGGGGGGATACCCAGCAGGCATCCCAGAGCAAATTCCTGAACTTCTCACCAGCAGCCCCAATCTGCTCTTACGATCTTCCCCATCTTAAAGAGCACTTTATTTTTAAACACTGTATATATTTAAGGTATATAACTCAATTTGATATATGTATACATTATGAAATAATCACCACAATCAAGCTAATTAAAATGTCAGTTACCTCACATGGTTACCTTCTTGGTGTGTACGGTGAGAACACTTAGGGTCTACTCTGTTAGCAAATTTCAAGTATACAGTACAATACTGTTACATATACTTACTGGAATTTATTCACGTTATTGAGACTTCCTAGCCCTCGACAAACATTCCTCCCCCTCAGCCCTGCCAGCCACCATGCTGCTCTCTGATTCCATGCGTTTGACTATTTCAGATTTAACATGTAAGGAAGATCACACGTTGTTTCTGAGCTTGGATTATTTCACTTAGTACGATGTGCTCCAGGTCCATCCGTGGTGTTGCAAATGGCAGGCTTTGCTTTTTGTTGTTTAACATTGAATAGCATATGTATGTACCACATTTTCTTGGTTCATTCATCAGGTGATAGACACTTAGGTTATTTCCGTATCTTTTCTATTGTGAATAATGCTGCAGTGACAGGGAAGTACAGGTATCTCTTTGAAATGCTTTGGGCTTCCTGGGTCTTATGGTAGTTGTATTTTTAATGTATATATATTTCATTTGCTATAGGGCATGTGTGCTCACCTGAGAAACGGAGAGAGAAAGAGGAAAGATGAGAAAGCATCCCCCGGGGGGGGTTGCCATGGCACTATCCCTTCTCCTCCATTCTCCTTTTGGGATTTTGGACATGCACACACACGTGCCTAGCATGTTTTTTCAAGCCACTGGGTCTGGGACTTGAACTGTAAAGTCAGCCATGTGGAATCTAGTGCCTTAACCACTACACCACCTACTGACTCCCATTTAAAAAATTTTTTTTTTAACCATAGAGTGTGTGTGCTCACTGGAGAGAGACAGAGAGAGGGAAAGTGAGAAATCACCTAGCAGAGGGATGGCCACACTGCAATCCCTCTCTATTCTTTCAGGATTTTGGGCATGCACACACAAGTGCCTGGCATGATTTTCAGTCCACTGGATCTGGGCCTTAAACTTTGGTCAGCCATGTGGGAATCCAGCACCTTAACCACTACGACACCTTTTGGACCCTATTTTAATTCCACTGGATCTGGGTCTTAAACTTTGGTCAGCCATATGGGAATCCAGCACCTTAACCACTACGACACCTTTTGGACCCTATTTTAATTTTTTAAGAAGACTTGTTACTGCTAATGGTTGTACCAAACTCACCTTCCCACCAACAGATTACCAAGGTTCCAATTTCCTCACATCCTCACCAACCACTTTTGTTTTTATAAAATGTGAGCCATCCAGAGTTGAATTGTATGAGTTTCTTATATGCTTTGGAGATGAACTCTTTGTTAGATACATGATTTGCAAATATTTTTCCCTTTTTATTTTGTTGTTTCCTTTGCTGGGCAGAAACATTTAGTTTGATGTACCACTTGTTTATTTTTGTCTTTTGTTGCCAATACTTTTGGTGTCATATCCAAATGTTGTTGCCAAGACCCATATCAGGGAGCATTTCACCTATTTTTTCTTGTAGGAGTTTTATGGTTTCAAGTCTTCCAATTAAATTTTCAGTTTGTTTCAGGATGATTTTGGTGTAAGATAAAGTATTCTTTTGCATGTAGATATCCAGTTTTCCCAATACTATTTACTGAAGAACCTACCTTTTCCCCATTGTGTATCCTTGGTACCTTTATTGAAGGTACATGC